TGTCCCTCAGCTCTTCAGCTCAAGGCGAGCACTCTACCACTTGAGCTACAGCGCCACTTCCGGTTTTCTAGTGGTTTATTGGAGATAGGAGTCTCAAGGTCTCTCCTGCCCGGGCTGGCTTTGAACCACGATCCTCAGATCTCAGCCTCCTGAGTAGCTAGGATTACAGGCGTGAGCCACCAGTGCCCGGCTTTTTTTTTTTTTTTTAAACTACACTGAGATCAGAAAAAGTCAGTTACCACCTGGATATTATACTAAAGGGGACATTTAGAAATGCATCCCCTTCCTCCTTAATTCTAAGATCCTACTTAACTCCCAGAAAACAAAGCACAGCCACAGCCACATGCTGGACACTCTAGGTTTGCATACGTTTTCTCTACATGTGTGTCCATGCAAGGATAATGTCACCTAGCCACACACTGCAACACCGGTCCCGGTCCTTATGCAACATACAGATCTGGGTGCACAGAACCTGTCTTGCTTATCATGGAAAGACCACCTGGAACATGTGGAATGCCAGCTTCTCATTGTACTCCCACTGCTTCATGGCCTGTTCCACCTCGGCAGACACAGGGACAGGGCCATCGCTTGTGCAGGAGGCCATGTGGTAAAAGTCAGAGATCTTGACCAACTGCTCTCGAAGGTATCTAGTAGATATCTGTGTCCACTCTGAAAGAAAAAAAATATTCTGAATTCTGGACAAAGGTATGAGAATGATACATTGTCCTCTCCCTTTCTGATTATGTTGAGAATGTTCCTATAAATCAAATTGTGTGTGTATGATAGAGAGAAAGAGAGACACTGGGTTTGAACTCAATGCCACACTTTCCAGATAAGCACTCTTATCGCTTGAGTCCACAAATTACATTAAAAATGGTTCTTGCCTGTGTGGTACTAGTCAGAAAACATGCCCACCCCAAAGCCCTTAAGTACGCCACCTTAGTGTAAAGGCTCCTGCCCCATAAAAGTCTCTCGGGAGGAACTACTGTGCTTCTATACAACCCTAACCCAGAAAGAAAAGACATCCACTTAAACAGCGTGCTAATGGCTCATGCCTTCTATAGTCATTCTACTATTCAGGAGGCTGAGTTCCAAAGGTCACAGTCTGAAGTCAGCCAAGGCAGAAAAGTCCAAAAGGCTCTATCTCCAGTTAACCAGCAAAAAAGCTGGACTGGAGGTGTGGCTTACCTGGTAGGACGGCCAGCTGTAAGTGAAAAAGCCAAGCAAGAGTGCAAGGCGCTGAGTTCAAGCCTGAGCGCTTGCTCCAACTTACATGCATACCAAAAAGCTTTAAGGCCTTCAACTCCAGTAATAAACCAGCTCAAAAAGATGATTCAATACTAGGTCTACACGGTTCCTAGGTTAGCAGTTTTTCAGAAAGCACCATTGATTGATTGTGGATATTATCTTTGAAACGGATCCATTTGCAGTAGAAACAAAACATTAAACAATCAATTGCCAGCATCATCTTCTTGTGTCCCTGTAATGAACTAATGGTTTCATGACACTTGCTTCACAAAACAAAATGACAACCACCATCAAATGAGACATGTTTGGTTTGGCTATAATAAACAAAAGCAAAAGTAACAAGATCACAAATGCTAGCCTTCATATGCCTGGCCTTGCTATTAACTTGCTCTTTCTCAGTATGGTACTATTCTCAACACCCCCCCAGAGTATTTTAGCCAAGAGCTAAAAATAATGCACACACTTGCTACACACCCCTAACTTTGTCTTCTTGAAACTGATTTTTTAAAATACAGGACAAATACATGTTTATTACAGAAAACTGTAGCTATGAAAAGAATGGAAATAATCTGCAATCCCTTTGCACACACCCTTTAATTTGGTGAAGGCTCATCTTCCTGGCTACAGTATTTCCTTTTATCCAAACGTATGGGAATTTACTCTGTGAAATGAATATACTAAAATTTTGTTTTGGTTTTTGTTTGTTTGGATTTTGGCTTTTTTCTGCTGTCCCTAGGCTTGAACTCAGGGCCTGGACACTGTCCCCGAGCTTTTTCAGCTCAAGGATAGTGTTCTACCACTTGTACCACACCTCTGCTTCCAGCCTTCCTTTCGGTGACTATGTGGAAATAACAGGCTCAGACTTTCCTGCCTGGGCTGGCTCTTACAAGCCTCAGAGCTCAGCCTCTGAGCAGCTAGAATTACAGGCTTGAGCCACTGATGCCCAGCTTCTGTTTTCTAAACCCAAACGTGTCCATGAATAGCAAGCATGTGTTTAGGAGACCTACTTAAGTCGAAGACATAAGGAAACCTCTTTCCTTGGAACTTTCTGGAAATTCCTATTAAAGCTAGGTGGACTGAATGCCAAAAGTAGATCCCTGTTTGTTACAATGCACAAATAACTCAAAGTAGATCAAAGACCTCAACGTCAGACCTGAGACTTCGAAATTACTACAAAAGGAAGTAGGAGAAACACTCAAACTCATAGGCAAAGGCAGAACCTTCTTGAAAAGAGTCCCAGGGCACAGCAGATAGCAGAAACTTGACAAATGGGATTACATCAAACTAAAAAATGTCTGCACAGCAAAGGACATAGTTACTAAACTAGAAAGACAACCAACAGACTGAAAGAACATCAGACACAGGCCCAAAATCCAAAATATACAAGGAGCTCAAGAAACTAACAAAGCTAATAAATCAATCACTAAAGAGACAAAGGAGCTAAGGAAGAGGCAAGAATGGCAAAGGAAAAGGAGGAAATGTTTGTCCTCCCTGGCCATAAAGGAAATGCAAATCAAAACAACTCTGAGATTCCACCTCACCCCAGTTAGATTGGCCAACACCGTGAATTTGAACAACAAATGTCGGCAGGGATGTGGGAAAGGAGCCCTGTTGCACTGTAGGTGGAGATGCAAGCTAGTGTAATCATCCTGGACGGCAGTCTGGAGGTCCCTCAAAAACTAAACATAGATCTTTCCTACAACCCAGCCATACCATCCCTGGGCATCGACTCAGATCAGAACATCACAAACCAGGATACCGTCAAGACGCTCCAACATCGGTGATCACTGCTGCACTACTCACAACAGCTAAGTTGTAGAACCAGCCCAGGTGTCCTACAATAGAGGAGTGGCTCTGAAAACGCGGTACCTGTACACAGTGGACTTTTACACCACCATCAGAAAGAATAAGATTATGTCATCTTCAGGGAAATGGATGGATCTAAAACAAATCATGTTAAGTAACAAATGGCAAATGTTTTTCCTCATACGTGAACATTAGATCTAAAATACTGGGACACAATAAATTATACAGGTCCCTAGGCATTCCCACACATTGAAACCAAATTAGGATTCTCTTAAGAGAAAAACAAAAAGCACAATGCCTATGTGCATCTGATCAAACAAAATAGTATTTATTGAAATGAACTCCAGAAAGTGAAAACAAGAGGATTTTTTTCTTTTGTTTCCTTTCCTTTTTGTTTTATGTGTTTCTTTATATGTCTTTGGGAAAGTAAGGAGAGGCACAGAAATGGAGGGACAAAGTGTGAACAAATGCAGCAATGGCACTCAGTGGACACTATGTTGAAAATGAATTATACAAATTGTGGGTGGGGATGGGAGAGAAAAACTGGGACAGAGCAAGGGATGAGGTGACACTGTCTAAAAAGAAATGTACTCTTTTCCTGACTTATGTAACTATAACCCCTCTGTACACCATAATAACAATAACATTATTTTTGTCGGTCCTGGGGCCAGAATTCTGGGCCTGGGCTCTGTCCCTCAGCTCTTCAGCTCAAGGCTAGCGCTCTACCACTTGAGCCACAGCACCACTTCCGGCTTTTTCTGCTTATGTGGTGAGGAATCAAACCCAAGGCCTCATGCATGCAAGGCGAGCGCTCTACCACTGAGCCACCTTCCCAGCCCCTAAAAATAACAATTTTTAAAAGTAAACATTTTAAATAATTTTTATAATAATTTTATATGTAGTAATTTTTACAAAGTTAGGTAGAGGGCAAACAGGCTTTATGATGCACTTCTACACCGTCATATCTGAAATGTTCATGATAAAGGCGTTAAGTAGCTCATCAGTTGGAGCCTGCGTGAGAGTCACCGAGCACCTGCAGCCCTCTCTGCAATGCTCTCTGCATGCAGGGTGGGAAGGGGTGGGAAGCCTGATGGGCGGTCTGGACTGAAAAGAACAGCACAAACGCAAACTGCTGGCTGGGTACAACATGAGGTGACAGTCAGGTGCTGGGCCAGACTCGGCGCTCTGAGTGAGAAGCGTGGTCCCTGGCAAGACAGCAGTAAGAGAGGCGAGGGGAGGGGAGGCTGTGGGTGCAAATACACCACAGAGCACTAAGTTTCTGAAACACATTTCTCCTTTTAAAACGTCTTCATCACTGGGCGCTGGTGGCTCACGCCGTAATCCTAGCTATCCAGAAGACTGAGATCTAAGGGTCACTGTTTGACACCAACCAGGGCAGGAAACTGTTATCTCCAATAACCTACTCAGAAAAAGGCTGGGTTTGTGGCTTAGTAGTAGAATGCTTGCCTAACATGCATGAAGCCCTGGGTTTAATTCCTCAGTACCTCACACATAGAAAAAGCCAGAAGTAGCGCTGTGGCTCAAGTGGTAGAGTGCTAGCCTTGAGCAAAAGAAGCTCAGGAACAGTGCCTGGGCCCTGAGTTCAAGCCCCAGGACTGACAAAAAAAAACTACTCAGACAAAACTGGAACTGGTGCTGTGGTTCAAGTGGTAGAGTGGTAGCAAAGGGTAGCCTTGAGCAAAAAAAGCTCAGGGACAGTAGCCATGTCCTGAGTTCAAGCGCCAGGGCCAGCAAAAAAAATTTTAATTAAAATTAAATTTATTTATTATTATTTTTTTTTTTGTCGGTCGTAGGGCTTCAACTCTGGGCCTGGG